GCTCACCCTGTGGTCTGTGTGGGTCCTAATGCCCCAGTATAGTGATATATAAAATCCTCTAAGCTCACAGACACGAAAAAAATTGAGTTCAAGAGGTGATTTCATTGATTTCAGATATAAAAACTAACATTTCTAAAATGTAGCTTAGTCTGGTAGCCATTAGAAAGAGGGATTCTTCCACAGAGGACGGATGCCCTTGGTGAACAGTATAAAAGTCAGATCCACTCTCTCAAATGCAGCAAAGAGCACAGGAAAGGTCTGATGCCTTTCGGCTACAGCACTTGAACAGTTTCACTCTGTCACATTGCACAGCTAATCTGGTGCCAATTCCCTGAACTCTATCACGCCCTGCCACTGCGCTCTCTCCAAGGCCCTCCAGACAGCCGTCCATCAACCTCTTGGCATTCTGGGACAACACAAGGTAGACACGCTAGCTCCTTTCGAGGTGGCGGTACTCAGAATTGCCAATAAAGACAGTGCTGTGGCCATTTGTAATGCAGCGGGGAGTTCAGCAGTGTGTTATATAAGAATCACCTGTCGGTATTAAGCACAGGTAGGTGATATCGGGTTTGCTTCAAGCTATTCTAGATCCAGAATACTCACTACATAAAAACAGCGCAAATACATAAAATTGAACATACTAATGTCTTTACATTAGATTAAGAAACAAAATATTAAACAAACTGATATTTATTTGAAAGAAAAAAACTAGAAGCACACTTTTTAGGCAACATTTCTTAAAAAGGTATTTTTAGGTTTTTAAATGATAAAACAACAGATGTACTGTTCAAAATAAAGACAAAGCTTATTTTGACATTTAAGCTACAATTAATGTATGAATGTAATTGGATTGGATTAGGCGACTGAATATCAAACCAAGTTTTTTGAGACACACACACACACAGTATATATTGTATGAAAGTCATTGCATTAAACTGGGCAACAAAACTATTATAGCATAATAATATTTATTTGAAAGAAAAATTGCACAAGCACACTTTTTAAGCAAAATATTTATAAAAGAAGGTTGGATTAAAGTTTTAATTTTTTTGAAGTTGTAAATATAACATATTATTGGTGTACATTTTACAATAAAATACTATTTCAGATTTTCAACTTCAAAATGTCGTTTAATTCAGTGTTACTTGCGGTCTCTTTTTGAAATTTATTTAGTGAAAATTCTTACAACACTTTTTTCTTTGTGCATTGTTCAAAATAACAATAACAATAATAATAATAATAATAATATAATTTGGTCACTTAAGCAACACTTAAAAATGTTATCGCATAGACATACTGTAGATTAGATTTAGTAACAAAATATCAAGCCAAGTGATATTTATTTGAAAGAAAGACAAACACACTTAAGAATATATATATTTTTTTTTTTCAAATGATTTTTTAGGTTTTAAATGATAAAAAAAACCCATATTGTTCAAAATGAAAACCAAACACAAGCTATTTGGACACTTCAACACCTGTGTGAATTTGAGGTGGAATAACTTCATACATCCACTTAAAATCACTGTGGCTCCAGTTAAAAGTACATGCTATTAAATAGCAATTTAGAAAGTTAATTCTGAGAAAATCTCAAGCAGCATTTGTTTACAGATGGCACTTAATGAAATGACATTCAGACATGTTAAGTGTCACTTGAGTGTCCGAATACCTTTTGAGGGTCACTGTATACACACACTCTGTCACAACCCAAAGGGGCACCTCTGTGCGTGTGTTCTGGTGACAGCTGCTGGATCCGGGGAGCGAGTGTGCTAAGCTGAACGATGAGGTGAGACATGGATGTATTGCACCTAACGAGAAAACTTTCCAGCATTGGCCAGAGGGCATGGCACTGGCAAACGGACAATGTGTATGCATGCACATGGCAACCAGGCATTTACACATCATAAACACTCTGTAAACGCAGTACGGTGGACAAGGTCACCAGAGAGGACTAACCTCCTCCATTAACCTCCTCCTCTTCCAAAAAGGACAGTACGTCTACCGAGCCGAACGGCACACACGATGTCCCGTTGCATTGGGATTATGGTAGTGAGAAGAACTAACACGCTAACTAATGCACATTCAGAAAGATCTGAGGAACTATGAGATGAAGGAGTTGCTTAAAATAATTGGTTTATGCTTGATTAGTCCTGGTTTAGACGCACAGCTGTAGTGTTCACCAGCAAAACCTCTTCAAAAAGTCTTTTTGATGAAGCTGAATCATGGACATCATTTTATAACAACAACCCTCAAACTTTGGCATCTAGTGTGCATTTTAAAGACTTTTTAGACACTGGCGTGGTTTTGGTCAAGTGGCGGTCATCCAAACTTCGCCAAAAACAGTTTGGCATTGGCTGGAGGCTCCGTTGAAATCAGATGCCATCATAATGCCCTCTCCATTCCTCATGTCCTCTTCAAGCTCTTAGAGCTTCCCTGACTAGTGAACAGAGCTCCTTATAAGGAAGAGAACTCGGGATGTTTTTATCTCAAAATAGAACTCAAACAATGAGGAAAAAAAGCTCAAATATGCAAGAAAGTTCACAGAGCCCCCTGAGGATGCTCTTAAACCACAGTTCGAAGATGATTATAGTCTATTAGGACATAAGTATCACCTTCTCAACGGAACCGGTCATTTAGCACATGCTGTCCTGGCCGCAACATCAAGAGAATATTTGTATTAATCCACCAGTGAGACTGAGAGCTGCCGGATACAGTTAGAGAGTAAATTCAACCAGGGCTGAACGGTTCAGTAATGGGGAAATTATTTATTAATTTATTTAGTCATTTATTAGAAATGCATGCAAAAGCAAGGAAAACAATATATTAAGCACAAGTACTGTTTGCAAATATTTCTGTTTTGCTTGTTTAGATTCTCACAAGCCTACTTGGCACATGCAGCAGGGAAAAGCTTAGCAAAATGTGTCACCTTAATATAAATGCACAATTTTTATCATGAGACAATAAATTTAGGCAAGGCCCATAATATACCTGTAAGTAAGAGATGCACATTAAAAAAAAAAAAGAGATAAAAAACGAATGAAAGAATATTTAAAAAAACGATTAAAAGATGATTTTTAAAGTTAAAAGCATTTTCTCAGGAGAAAGTTAATTTTATATATTTTTATCCATGCAAACTTAATGTCCATTCAAATGTAAGTAGGATTATAGTAAATAAAATTAATCAATACATTAAATAAGTTTATTTAATTTTTTTTATTTAAGTTTAGACCTTCATTTGCCCTCAGTGTAAAATCTGACAAACAAAAACAAATATAATAAAAATAAATACAGCAATAATATCAATACTCTATCAACTAATAAATATATACATTTTATATATATATATCTGTATACTGTATATAAATTTAATATATTACTTTAAACCTGGATAAATTTATTTTAATTTTGCTTCCAATTTAATATTTAATAAAGATTTAATATTTAATAAATAAATAATCGTATAAATACTGTCCATTAAAACCTCATTTTGGTATGCTGCACTTATGTAAGGATAAAAGCTTGTAAATCTACTTCCAAATAAAAAATGCGAGAAAGAAAGCGAGAGCTCAGACCCCTCCTACGCATCTCTTTTCTTTTCTCTCTCCTCCTCTACTCCACCCCTCCACTTTTTCTGCCATAAACTTTCGAACTCCACATTGCTGCCACAGACCTTCCTTTCCTCTAAAACCAGAGCAACAGGATTGAATCCCAATACTCTCCATCTACAGATTTAGGTAGGTAACATTTTCTTGTTTATCAGTTTCAAGATGGCCCACAATGTTTGTCTAGTCGTCAAAGATTAGTTTATCTAGATTTTATCCTTGACAGTTACCACATTTGACTATTGTGTCTAGTGCTGTTTGATGAGCATCTCTTCATAAACATAGCATTCTTAGGATGCCGTGTCAAGTTAAAAACAATTTGACTTTTAAAAATGCACCTGTGGAAAAAAAGAATGGAGTCAGTTGAATCCAAAACCAGCCTAAATTCAAAGGTCTTTATTCAAATTAATTAGTTGATGAGGCTATTTACCATTGAACGCTCCGTGCATATGCATTTCCACAAGCAACAATGCAGTTAATATATTTTTGTGATAAATAATCAGATGGTTATGCAACAGTTACCCTTTGTATTTTATATTCATAACTTTACACAGCAGTGGACGACGTGTCTGAATGCACAGAGTCAGAGATTAATCAGAGTTTTGATGTTTGGGTCTGCGCCGCTCTGTGTGCTCACGATAAACAGCGAGCCAGACTCATTCTTCTCCCGACACAAATCGGGGAGACGTGACCTAGACTGACTCCGACCTATACACAACACCCCACATTTACACTCCGCTGGGAGCTCTGACAGCCCTTCATTTCAGCACAAATGTGCTCGCTGCATTCACTGCGGCCCTGCAGAGGAGGAAAGGTTAACTGCATACAGAAGACCGTTAAACCAGGAACCACACCACAGCTTGCACACATCCAATTGTGTTGGCTTTCGCATAAGACTGAGGCAAATATCGAAGCAATAAAGATGCACGAAAGAAATGATGATGCTTGCACAAAAATTATATACGTAAAATGTATTTGTACCAACATTTGTAGCAACTGCCTTATTATTCTGCAAACACATGTTCACCTTCATAATAATATATGATTGCATAATTTATTATCATGAATTTATTAATCAGTGTAGCATTAATTTATTATTTTATTTTACTATTAAATTAACTAATAATCCGTAACATTTATTTTATAATTTCATGTAAAGTACGTGAAATATGTGACCCTGGATCACAAAACCAGTCTTAAGTGTCAATTTTTCGATATTGAGATTTATACATCATCTGAAAGCTGAATAAATAAGCTTGGATAGTTAGGATAGGACAATATTTGGCCGAGATATTGAGAAAATCTCCTTTAAAGTTGTCCAAATGAAGTCCTTAGCAATGCATATTACTAATCAAAACTGAAGTTTTGATATATTTACGGTAGGAAATTAACAAAATATCTTCATGAAACATGATCTTTACATAATATCCTAATGATTGTTGGCATTAAAGAAAAATCTATCATTTTGACCCATACAATGTATTTTTGGCTATTGCTACAAATATACTTCAGTGACTTAAGACTGGTTTTGTGCTCCAGGGTCACATATATAATATCACCAAACATTATATATACTTTTTTATAATTTATTTTATAGATGTATATTATTTTCATAAAAAAATGATATTTTATCAGAAAAGATTCTCAATTTTATATAATTTACATTACATATATAATGCTCATGCTATCTTTTATTGCATAAAATAATATATATACATACATGTATATATATATATATATATATATATATATACACCTTGCTACGTGTACTGCATTAGGCTAACCGAG